GCGTTGGGAGCACTAGGTTTTATGGATCCTCCATCAACAATTCTTAAGTTGTTTTATGGTACCTGGCCACTGATACGCCATGGCTGTCCATACCAATCTACCTAACTTGCAATCGCGAACTACATGAGTACCCGATTCCAAAACATCCACACACTGTAGGCACGTTGGGTCATTCGTAATGCGTTTAACATATAAATTATGAAATTACTAACAAATCTCCGTGCCTGAATCTTGATTTTACTTTGACACGAACAAGCCCATATATTATTAAATACGACTTTTTTCTGTTGAGATATGTCCAAACCCCCCCCCCCCAAAAGCAATCTGTAGCCACTACGAACGGAATAAATACTAGACTTTTCCCCACTCCAAATACGAGAATCGTCCTGAGCAAAGTGTGAAATTGGAATGCTCAATATTAACTCTGCCTCCTCTTCACTAAACACCTCCCGAATTAACTCCTCCCTCAATTCCTTTGAATTTGTGTCTATCAAATCAGCTACGTTATCAGTCGATTCATCACGAACTGATTCAATAAGCCGAGGAGGGTAGGTTGGTAGCCAGAAATCTTTCCAGATTGAAATGGAAGACCCCCCTCCAACCTTCAATCGCAAACCTTTGATAAGTAACCCCTTTGCACTCCATATGCTTCACCATGTATAAAAGGGAGACCCTAGACTGGACCGAAGGAAATCAACATTGGGATAATACTTAGCTCGAAATAATCTTCCCCTAGGGATAAAGGATTTAGGAACAATCGCTATCCTTGGTTAGCTAACAATGCAATATTAAATTTTGACAAATCACGAAACCCGTGCCCTCCATTCTCCCTTGAGTGACATAGCTTTGCCCATTCGCACCAATGTATTCCCTGCTTTTGCTCAGATCGTTGCCACCAAAACCTCGCCATCATACTTTCATATTCTTGACAACGTTTTGGGAAGCAAAAAGCAATTCATTGCAAACAAATGGAAGGCTTGCAAAACCGACTTAATATATACTTCCTTATCACTTTGAGAAAGAACTCGAACGCACCAATTCTGTATACGGCAACGAGCCTTATCCAACAGAAAAGTAAATGCGCCTCTCTTGTTTCTCCCAACAATAGACGGAGGATCCAAGTATTTCTCCAGGTTCGTTTAACAAGAGACATCCGATATACTTCTCACGTCCCTTCGGTTTTCATCAATCACTTTTGAGCTTAAGAAAATGCCGGACTTATTAAAATTAATGGCTTGTCCCGAACTATCCCCATTAATATGCAGTAGCTCTTTTAATCGATTAGCTACTCTAGCCATAACCTTGCCAAATATCAAGCAATCACTTCTCGTGAATTCAAGCGCATGTATTCAAATTGTTTTAAAGGTTATTAGTTTATTTATTATTTGTTATTTAAAATTTTATTTTATTTTATTATTTCAAGCACACAGATTAGGTCCCTGTTTAGAAGAATACTATATTGGATTCATATTCTACTTTAAGATTGGTCCGTCTTAAGATTTTATTTCATTACATTTTGGCCCATGGACTTGATGAACATTAACAAAAATATTTGTTCATTCAAACTCATAATCTAGTCCGGAAAAATCAATAGATCGTTAAAAAAAATTCATAATTTTCTAAACTCTAATACACATTTTCAACTTTTTCTTTTAATTCACAAAAAAAGATAAAATTTTTCACATTATGCAATTTTCAAATTTCTCATTCAAAAAATATTATTAAAAAAGTTATACAAATCCATAGATTATATCTTTACTTCCTAAAAATCCTCTTCATTCAGGTTTATTAGTTCAATTCCCTGCAACAACATTTTATCTCATTTTTTTTTTTGGGATAAATCAATCAATTTCATTACCCAAAGAACAAGTACAACAACAAGGACAAATTCTGCTACATAACCAGCAGTGTTCTGTTCACAAAAACATTATACTTACAAAAGAATCAAGAACAATTAATATCCCAAAGTTTACAAAGGGTAGAATTAGTGCTATCATTTCTATTTATGTTCCTATCCCTAAGCTGAAATCGCACCACATCCTTAATGGCAAGGAACAACTCTTGGACGTTTCTGCAATGACGTTGAAAATCCTCCTATTTCTTTCTTCCCAGAATATATAGACGAGGGCATTGAGGGAAAGCTTCATAATCAAAGTTAGCAAGTACACAAAAAAAGCATCCCAAGAGGTAATGGAAAGTTGCATACCAGAGTGAGTGAAAACAGAATTCCATAATTGATTTGCCATAGGACAATGGAGGAACAAGTGCTCCCTTGTTTCCCAAGGATCATTGCAGAATAGGCAATGGCATTCATTGATAATCCCTATTTGGTGAAGTCTAACCTTTGTTGAGAGTCTATCAAGTAATGCCATCCAAGAAATCAATTTTTTTTTTATTTTTCACTGAGTTGTTAGGTTTTACTCTATATGGAGAGAAAAAATGTACAATCATATCATATGAACTATAAAACATTAATTTAACAAAAATTAAAAATTTAGACTTTAGAAATCGTGAATCAATTTTTTTTCTTTTAATTATATTATTTCAAGAAAAATAATATAATGCATATATTAATTGAAACCTTGTATTGTAACTCAAAATAAACGTACAAATTACGATCATACAAATCATATAATGCATATATTAATTGAAACCTTGTAGTGTAAAACTGATATGAAAGTAAACCTAGGATTACAATTTTAATGAAAGAACATAGATTAGGTCCCTGTTTAGACGAATACTATATTGGGTTCTTATTCTGCTTTAGGATTGCTTCACATCAGCTTTTCCCAGCCTTTGCTCATCGCAATGGTTATACGTTGGGATCTTTTCAAATTTTGTTATTTTGTTATTTTATATTTTATATTTATTCCTTTTCTGTTTCCTACTTAGAAACTAAATTAGAGTGATGGCTTAAAATTGGAAAACTAAGTTGGCTAAGTTTGGTTCCATTAAAAACGATGACGACGACACAAACCAACCTCCATTACTCTTCTTCAATATCTCCTCATAATTCTTGAACCAAGAATCTTACTAATTTTCCAACATGTTCTAATTTCATTTCTAACACTTCTAACTTCTTAATTAGATCATTGACAAGTCAAATATGGCTTAAAAATCCATTTATAACTTCTTCTTCATCAATTCACTTAAACCATCCTTTTACTAAATCACTCATAACTTATTCTTCTTTTAGTTTTACACCACTATAACCTTTCCTTAAGCTTTCTTAATACTCCAATAATCAAAATTGACCTTAAAATAAAAGAATTAATCCATAGAAAGCATACTCACCTTATGCAAGAAGAACCCACGTTGGAGAGGAGAAAGAAGAAAAACATAGAGAATTCTAGATTTTCATTTTACTTATCTCCCCTTTCCACGTGAATATAATACCTCCACTAAAGAGTTTTTAATTATTTCCTTGTCAAATGACACTTATGCCCTTTCCATTTCCAAACTTTGTTATTCAATCATGTTTCAAGAAATTCCAATTAAGTTCCTAAATTTTTCAATTTTTTCTAAATTAACCACCAAATTTCAAAAATTTTTGTTTTAGTCATTAACCCGGTTTTTGGGATGTTACACCTTGAGCATGTTCTAGGTAGCTAGAAATGAGGTCATCCCTTTGTGTAACTCTCGATTGAGCTTGTTCCCAACGATTGCGCCACTATATAGCTCCTTCATAAGGGACTATCGGAAGTTCACTTGCACTTCTCTGAAAATCTTGCACCTTAGTCTCAAGCTCATTCACTCGCTTTTTTAGGGTTTTGACCTCTCCACGACTCGAACTACCTTCTCGACTTTGGTATCATTGTAATGTTGCCTCTAAACTTGAGATCTTGCTCTTTAGTTTCTCATTTTGGGCTCGACTCTCTTGCAGTTGTTGCTCTAATGCACTCTTTTCTTTTGAAACTATCTTCGCCTGATGTCTGCTCTGCTTGATCTCTTCTTTACTTTCTCCAACTTCTTCTTTAGCTCGCTCATATCGTTTTGATGGACATTAATGTAGGTGTAACCAATCAAATCTGACACAAATCCAGGCGATAAGCTATATCTATTGGTGAGTTGGGATTGCTTTGACCAACTCAGAACATCTGCATTGTCTTCTTCCTATTTTTGGACTATTCGTTCCATATTACTAGCCTTCTATATGAACATTGATCATGAATCAACACCATGGAATGAGCAGTGCAATGCAAAAAACGTAACTAAAATAAAAAGAAAAAAAGGAAATCAGCCATTTCTCCCTAACTTTCCTACAATTATTATTTTTTTTTCATTTTTTTCACTGAGTCGTTAGGCTTTACCATTTTGGAGAGAAAAATTGTACAATCATATCATATGAACTTTAAAACATTAATTTAACAAAAATTAAAAATTTAGACTTTAGAAATCGTGGATCAAATTTTTTTCTTTTAATTATATTATTTCAAGAAAAATAATATAATGCATATATTAATTGAAACCTTGTATCGTAACTCAAAATAAACGTACAAATTATGATCATACAAATCATATAATGCTTATATTAATTGAAACCTTGTAGTGTAACACTGATATGAAAGTAAACCTGGGATTACAATTTTAATGAAAGAACATAGATTAGGTCCCTGTTTAGGCGAATACTATATTGGGTTCTTATTCTACTTTAGGATTGCTTCACATCAACTTCCATAAAATTTCTCAAGACTAGCTTAAATGTAGCCATTAATGGCCTCAAACAGCTTTTCCCAGCCTTTGCTCATCGCAATGGTTATACGTTGGGATCTTTTCAAATTTTGTTATTTTATATTTATTCCTTTTCTGTTTCCTACTTGGAAACTAAATTAGAGTGATGGCGTAAAATTGGAAAACTAAGTTGGCTAAGTTTGGTTCCATTAAAAACGATGACGACGACACAAACCAACCTCCATTACTCTTCTTCTCTATAAAAAAGCACTTCTTCATCTCTTCTCATTACCCAGAAAACATAATCCTTTATTCTTCCTCGAAAAACAGAAACTCCAATGGCTTTCCTTTTCCTCAACTTCCTTGTCTTCCTCTCAATGTTTCTACTGTGCTTTGTTCGTTGTGAACCCACTCCTTTGCTTCCCCCTTTCAACATATCCCAACCCGACCTTCTGAAATACTTTGGGCTGAACAACTTCGGCAATATCCTCCCTGCTATGTATGTTTTCGGCGACTCTTACATAGACGCCGGAAACAACAACTACTTGAAAACAATCGCCAAAGCCAACTACCTTCCTTATGGCATAGATTTTGCAGGAGGTCAACCAACTGGTCGTCTCACCAATGGGAGAACCGCCGCTGATTTTATAGGTAAAGTGTTGTGTTTCATTCATATAACCAGTGTTGTGTTTCGTTCAAATTATGTTCATTAATTTAAATCTGTTTCGTGGTTCTTGTAGCTACTTCTAATTTCTCTTTATCTTTTAATGAAACAGCTCAACTAGCTGGACTGCCATTTCCTCCCCCTATGCTAGGGATGTCTGCTGCCGAAAAAGAGAATACTCTCACTGGAGTCAATTACGGCTCTGGTTCTAGTGGGATACAAGCTCTTCCTCCTACTGTAGCACCAATATTTGTGAGTTTTCATCAGTCCTTTTACCACCCTACTATGTGAGCTTGAGATTAAAAATTAAATTTAATGTTATGCTTTTTTACTTTCAATCCACAGGGGCATGTTCTGCGCTTTGAGGAACAAATAAATTTGTTCAAGGAGACAACCAACAGCATGAGGAGTCGATTTGCCAGCCTTGAGAGCTTAGCTCTCTACATGTCCAAGTCATTGTTCTTCATCCATATAGGGAGCATGTTGGTTTTTGGCAAAAAGTCCCACATTGGTTGTGTATAAGGAGGAGGGGAAATTCTTTTGTTATAAATAAAGCCCTTCTCCTCCTTAGTTAATCATCCCACAAATATAAGCCTTCTTCTATTTTAAAGGCTATTTGTATTCTTTCTCTCTTTGTAATATTTCCTCTATTAGTGAAATATTTTGGTGTTCTCTTTTATGTCTATTTAATAGCTATTGTCGGGTATAGTTGTTGTCAATTATTGTCCTATTAAAATTACTTGTCTTGGTAGTTCTGTCTAAGGAAAGTGGGTTTTAAGAGGGACCATTGTGACCCCTCCTCTTTCCTGGGAATCTACCTTGGGGGTGATTTTTAGTACAATCGTTTTCACACTAGTCACCTAGATAATAGTTTTCAAGGTGAATCTGTTATTGGTGGAAATTAACCCGAATTTCACAACAGAGCAATGACTTGGGCGTATATTGGGAGATTGGACAAAGAGATGCATTCTTTTCGAATGCAACCGAATATGCTCTTGGGTTGTCAAAGAATTTGTCTCGTGGATTGGAGGTAAATTACACTTTCATATTCTTCTTTAGAGTTACAGTTGGATATTCAGGTTTAAAAATATTTGATTATAATGCAGGAAATTTATGAACTGGGAGCAAGGAAGTTCCTGGTAAACAATGTCCCTCCAATGGGGTGCTGGCCTGCCAATGTCAACAGCCACAAGCCCAACACCTCTTGTGTCGAAGATATCAACCAAAGGGTATCTTACTACAATGGAGTGCTTCCCAACATGTTGAAAAACTTGGAAGCATCCTTGAAGGGGTCTACTTTTGTGGTTTGTGACCTATACCGGCTGTTTGGAGATGTTTTTTCCCAGCCCGCTGCCTATGGTGAGAAATGAATTTCCCTTTTCTCAATTTAACAAAATAGTGTGAAAAATTTGTTGGTTGCAATGCAGGGTTTTGGAATGTCAGTGGTTTTTGCTGCCCCGATTCAGCAGGGAATGGCACAAGAGAATGTGCTAAAGGTGGTGTTCCCTGCATGGATAGAGAAACCATCCTCTTCTTCGACCCAGTCCACCCAACTGAGAGATTCCATTTCCACTGGGTTCGATCCTTCTTGCTGGAGGACTCCCTCTGCTCCCCTTACAATTTGTTAGAGTTAATACAACTTTAGATTTTATTAATAATGTTATTTTGGGTGTAGTATTCACTTCCTTGATGTTTGCATAATCTCAGCATTAGTTATTTTTGAAATTAATAATTCCACTATTAACAATGATCAACAGAACATGAGTACAATTTAAGTTAACTAAATACATATGTCGAGATTAATTATCATTTCATTTGATGCTAAATTAAACATGGTTTAATTCACATTCGTTTCTTAAAAAGTTCAGATCAAATTGCCTGCATCATGCCGAACCACCAAACCATCACGTCAAGCAGCTTTTGGGTTACATTGTGACAAGCTTAAGGATTTGACAAATTTTCATTCGTCCCAACACAGAACATCCATAGATACTAGCATAACATTATATTATGGATCTACACCCCTTAGAAAAATAGTAAATTAACATTAGCACTTTCATTAGAATTTTCAATTAACATTAAATGCTTAGCACTTTCATTAGAATTTTCAATTAACATTAAATGCTATTTAATTGAAATGCAATTACACCAGCATTTTCACTATCTGCTAATCACTTCTATTTCTTGGATAAAACCTTTCAACATGCGAAGTCACTTCTATTGCTTGGATAAAACCTTTTAACATGCGATTTTAATAAGAAATGGTAAATTAATTAAGCTACCCTTTGTTTTGTGTAAGGGTTAACTATTACAGTTTATGTTTGCCCAAGGACATTACACTCTAAATGAATTAGTGGATCGATTGTGTTGTTTAATATGCACGACAACCAGAGAATAACATATATATATATATATATATATATATTATTGAATACATAATTTCATTTTTAATTTAAAAAATAAAGGAAGAAGTAAATTTTACTAAGAATTTATGATATATTTTATGATTGAGAAAATATTAATTACATGCTGAGAGTTAAGATTATATTAGTTGAATCAAGTTAAAAAGGCAAGAAACTGATGAATCTTTTAATAAACGTTTTGCCCATATGAAATACACACTCTCAATAGGGTTGAATACATGACTATTTCTATCATTGCACGGTTCTACATTTGCAATGCACCGCTCAATTATCTAGGATCTATTTTACTACATGGGCTCAATACTTGTGTAAATCATGCGTGTTGGGAAATAAACGAGAACGAGTAATTTTCCTATAACCAGATTAGTAAAAATGTGAAATAACAACGGAAAAATAATACCCGAGATTGATAACGGAGTTCAGCCAATTATATGCATACGTCTTCGGACCGCTGCAGATCTTTTACTAAAGAGAAAATTTACAGGTGTTTACAAAACACTCACAACTCACAATAAAACTCTCTAAACTCTTTAGTATTGGGAGAAAGAAATGATTTGGGATGACTTTGAAGCTAAATGGGTAAGGGTATTTATAGTTGAAGCTTAATGACTAAGCTTTGAAAATACCCAAAAGTGCAAGGACTAAAATGTAATATTCCCAAGCCAAAATTTTCAACAATTATCAGCTTGAATTCGGTGCAATAAATGCACCACTTTCGGTGGCCTCCCTTGCCTCCCTTTTTGACTTTTCCAATAATCTCCCACTTGAAGACTGATGTTAATCTATCTTCACACCTCGATCAATGCATCAACATTACTGGTCTTGTTATTCTAGCATGCCAACTGAAGCTGAAAACAACTTCAGTTTGTCAGTAGTCACCGTCTTGACTCCCTTCGACTCTTGTCCACTAGTCTTTGAAGGATTGTTCCTCACTCGAACATCCTCGGCAAGCCCCTGCTTCGACCTTTCTTTTAAGATGGTCTTTGAAGCCATGTTCTCTACACAAACATGCTCGGTAAACTCCTTGGACACAGAAAACTCTTCTTGCACTTGGCTTCTACTCACCTTGGCAAAAATGAACCTTATTGAGCCAACTCTCAACGCCTCTTCGATCATGGGTTCGTCCTCTTCTCTGGACAACTCGATCTTGGGCTCATCCATCACCTTGGATGACTCGGCTCCCCTCGGGTAATTTTGCAACACTTCTGGCATCTTAAGTCTGCGTCCCCTCGTTTGCTCGATTCTTACCATTGGCTTAGTATCTTTGACACTCGAACTTGTGCCAAGACTGCACACATCTTCCCCAGACTCACCATCTGGTTCATCATTGAGTTGATTTTCTCTGCCACTCGAGGAACAACATTCCTCATCCTCTGACTTGCCTTCATCACGGAATCGTTTACTGCTACCCTCATCTTTCGGCTTTGCTTTGGAAGTCTTGTTCTTCTTGACTCCAAATTCTTTGATGGACTCAGTGGTTGTCAAGGCTTTAGACAACTCCTTGACTTCCCTTCGCTCCAACACTCTCTTCGCCCATGGATTCAATCCGAACATGAAGGTGAAGAATCCATCTTCTTCAGTCAAACTTGGGACTTTGACATGAGTTTTCTGAATCGACTCACATACTCCTTAAGTGTCCCTTTATGCCTGAGACGCCTCGACTTGGACCACGCCTCTATCCTGGCATACTGTGAGCAGACATGCTCACTTTGCACCCTCGGCTTGACGACTTTATCTCTTGCTATCGCACCGGGTCCCTTCTTGTGCTCGACTTCTTGGACACCCGCAGTCTCGTCACGTTTCGATCTTGGGTTGACTACTTGAGAACTTGTAGTCGCACCACTCTTGCTATTTGATTCGACTACTTTGGAAAATATAGCCTCACCAAGTCTTTCCCCTGTCTTGATTACTTGGATACTCGCAATCTCGGGCTTTCTACTAGATTCAACTACTTCAACATCAACAACCTTGCCTTCTCTCGATCCTTGCTTGGCCGCATTGATCCCATCAATCGGACCAAGTCTTTTTCCTGGCTTGGTAGATTTAACACCTGCGACCGCGCCAATTCCCGCTACTTCTCCTTCTTCCATCCTCTTCATGATGGCTGTAAGGCGACGCTTCTCGGGACATCCTGTAATCAATAAGGACCATCACTGAAGTAGCACTTCAATTTTTTTGCTCCCCTTCTTCTTTACACAAGACTTAGCCTTTCCATTCTTTCTCGATGGCTTTCCTTGGCTACGAACAGTGATGACTCACCTTGGCCATTCGAAGAGCTTTCTCTACTATCTCCCCGCTGCACCTTTTCCCGGTCTCCACCACTATTGCCATTATCTCTGGGCATGGGCCTGGATGACACATCGCTACTTGGCTTGTCTCCTGCAAGCTCAGTTAGCTTTCCGATTACAACTATGGCCTTCAAAAGTCTCTGGACATCTCCTTACTCTCCCCCGAGCATCGCCCCTGGTCTAAGTCCTTCCAAGAAGGTCTTGAGCGCGCCCCATTCACTCATTTCTCCCTTGCATATGAGCAACTCATTCTTGAGCTCATCCACTTTGTTTCTCAAAGCCATCGCTCCCACTCGAATATGACTTCTTTTGGATCATTTCTGACAATTCTTGCGAATCACCATGTATTAGAACACCTCTGTCAACAAACTAGTATCGCCGACCAAATGTTATTATTCACGAAATTCACTATTCACGTGAATAGTAACCTCGCAGAAAAAACCGACAAAATTAACCACCAAAAGCTCTTGATACCAGTTATTAGGAAATGAAATGAGAACGAGTAATTTCCCTATAACCGATTAGTGAGAATGTGAAATAACACGGAAAAATAATACCCGAGATTGATAACAGAGTTCAACCAATTATGCCTACGTCTCCGGACTGTTGCAGATCTTTTACTAAAGAGAAACTTTACAGGTGTTTACAAAACACTCACAACTCACAAGAAAACTCTCTAAACTCTTTAGTATTGGGAGAAAGAAATGATTTAGGATGATTTTGAAGCTAAATAGGTAAAGGTATTTATAGTTGAAGTTTAAGGACTAAGCTTTGAAAATACCCTAAAGTACAGGGACTAAAGTGTAATATTCCTAAGCCAAAATTTTCAACAATTATCAGCTTGAATTCGGTGCAATAAATGCACCACTTTCGGTGGCCTCCCTTGCCTCCCTTTTTGACTTTTCCAACAATGCGTGCGCACACAGACATATATATTGAAGCCCATGATCACCCTATGATCGTGGGTAGTGATTTTAATAAAGTCCTAACGTTGGAGGAGAAATTCGGTGCACAGTGAACATGCAAGCAACGAAAGTCTTTGAGGTATTTATCCAGAACAACAATCTGATTGATCTACCATTGTCAACATCTCCTTCACATGATTTAGAGGAGGAGAATCAACCACGACATGTAGGTTGGATAGATTTTTAATCTCTCCAGATTTTCTATCTATCTATCCTTCATTATTCCAAAGTGTTTTACCGGGTAGCATTTCAACCACAACCCAGTCATGCTGAAGGAAGAGCACACTACGAGTGTTTCCCAACCATTCAAATATTTCCGACCAAAATCATATGTGATGATTTTGACGTTAAAAATGGTTAAAAATGTTGTTAATTGATGCATGTATAGTACTAGTGGCCTTAAGAATTGATTTGGTTATTGATACACATGGAGGAGTATCGATACCCATTCGATTAGAAAGGCCACTAGGGTACTTGAAACCTTGAACTCTTCGAGAACGATTCTTAATAAATAACAGTTAAAACATGGATGTTTAATGAACATTTTCATATCATATTAAATGAGAATCGAACTGAGTATAAATCATTGATAAGTAAAGCTTTTTTCGTACGAGAGTGTCATTGAATCCTGGAACGTGATTAATTGACTAATTAGCAGCCATGAATGGCGCTTAGAAAAAAATATACAAACATACAAGAAATATTATCTAGCAGTCGCGAGTGGTGCTCGAAAAAATAATTTAAACACCTGAGATTTATTTTTTCAGTGACCATTAGTAGCGATATAGCATAAATGGTACGCAAATGACTTATTGATAAATAGCTTGGTGCATAATATGAGAAGAAATGAATGAAACCTCGATATGTTTAATGATAAATTGATTGTGAATGATAATCGAGGACCCTAAGTCTATTACAAATTATTGGTATGCCGTACATTAAACAAGTCTTCTTCTTACTTGCCTATGC